ACAGGCAACAGAGGTGAGCTCTGTCTGCAACAAAACAAAAAACCACAAACTTGGTTTGTTGGTCTTTTTTACTTTAACATGTGTTTATTGGTATTCTTATTATGGTTTTAACTTGAATTTCCTAGTGAGTAATGGAATGATGACCCTTTTTATTGTACTTCTTTGGTAAAGTATCTGTCAAAGCACTTGACCTTTTAGAAATGGGGTCTTTTTTTTCTATCCAGGTTTGGGAGTTTAATAATACTTTGATACGTTCTTATCATATTGGTTTCTAAATATTTCCCTCCTGGTCTGTATTTATTTTCTATTACCTTTCAAAGACAGACGTTCTTATTTGATGAGTCTTATTATAAATTTTGATTGATTTTTATATTTCATAATTTAGGCACAGTGTTTTTTGTACCGGGTGGATGTAGCATGGCCCGTGTACCTGTCACCAATACTGTCCATTACCAATAGATGCTTTTTTATCCTTCAGTCCCCCCTCAATTTTTACTTCTATGTCTAGGTATCACTTCTCAATACATTTAAATGTATTACACTACATTCTTAGTTGCCCTGGGCCAGTTATTACTGATTGCCTCTCAGCTCCCATCATATCTGCCTGTCTGTGAAATAGAGGATGGACCCTTTAATTCTTTTTCTTTGTTCTCGGGCATGACGTTAAGTTTTGCAATAGATGGCACTGGAGGACACTGCAAGAGGGAAGGATTTGCTCCTGGTTCTGGTGTATAACTAGGCAGCGGCTCCTGCGCAAACTTGGCTTCACAATGCCAGGCTCCTGGTCCACCACAGGCTTCTCCCTGCAGGGCTCCTCAGCAGTCAGTGGCAGTAGCTTCCGCTTTGCCCTCCCTCATCAGGTGGTTTTGTAGCAGAGTGTCTCTAGTGAGACACCGCCCTGTGAATGGCTTTCCCTGGCACCACTGATGCAGCACCACAGTGACTTCCTGACCGTGCCATACCTGTGCTCCCTGCAGCAGGATCTGGGCCGCAGCCCAGGAGTGGAAAGGGCCTCTTATTGGGAGTTCTATCTCAGCCCCAGGTATCTACTATCATGTATAATATTATAGTGATCATATCTGCTATTTTTTAAATTATATCTGCTCTTTTAAAAAATCTTTAGAGTTCCATTTTTTTACTTGCCCACAGGTTGACAAACCATGAACCAAATGCCAAATCCACCCATTGTCTGTTTTTGTAAATAAAGTTTTATTGAAACACGACCATGCTCATTTGTCTACATATTATCTATGGGCACTTTCACATTACAATGGCAGAATTGAGTAGCTGCAACAGAGACTGTTTGCCTCCTAAATCCTAAAACATTTGTTTTTCTTTTCAGAAAAAGTTTAACAATCCCTATATTAGCCAGTCCTTCTTACTCCAATCCTCTATTACAGTTAATTTTTTTAATATTAAACTTTTCCTGTTCAAATTATCACATGGTTTCTCTCTTCTCACTGAACCTAGTCTGATACATCTCCAACCTCTCTGGTCCCTTTTTCTCAGTCCATTTTTAGGCTTCCCTCCCTCTACCTATTGCATAACATTAGTGCTCCTCAAGGCTGTCTTTTCTGTTCTCTCTCTGTTTCTTGAAGCAATTCACCTGCTTACCCATCTTCTATTATTAGGTTTAACCAATGATTTTTAATCTGAGTTACATGGATGGTTCCAATGTGTCCCTAAACCACCAGAAATTACATGTAAATTTTGTGCGGGTAAGCCAGGCATGGTGGCTCACACCTGTAATCCCAGCTACTCAGGAGGCTGAGGTAAGAGGACCATTTGAGGCCAGGAGTTCCAGACCAGCCTGGGTAATATAGTGAGGCACCATCTCTAAAAAAATAAATAAATAAATTAGCTAGGCATGGTGACATGTGCCTGTATTTCCAACTACTTGGGTGGCTGAAGCAGCAAGATCACTTGAACCCAGAAGTCTGAGGCTGCAGTGAGCTATGATCGCACCATTGCACTCCAGTCTGGTTGACAAGGTGAGACCCTGTCTCTTAAAAAAAGAAATTTTAGGCCAGGCAAGGTGGCTCACGCCTATAATCCTAGTACTCTGGGAGTCCAAGGCAGGAGGATCACTTGAGCTCAGGAGTTCAAGACCAGTCTGAACAAGAGTGAGAATAGGAGTTCAAGACCAGTCTGAGCAAGAGTGAGAAAAAATTAGCTGGTGGTGTGCACCTGTAGTCCCAGCTACTAGGGAGGCTGAGGCAGGAGGATTGCTTGAGCCCAGGAGTTTGAGGTTGCACTGAGGTATGATGACGCCACTGCACTCTATCCAGGGCAACAGAGTGAGACTCTGTGTCACAAAAATAAATAAATAAAAATAAAAAAGAAAGAAAGAAATTTTGTGTGGACATGCAAATGTGCATACAGGTGGAGAGAAGGTTTCCAGCTTCACCTTTTGGCAATATAGCTCAAGAGTTAAGGGCATAATGGCCCCTGAATATAACCTGGTTAAGTTTGAATGCTAGCTTTGCCATTATGACCTGGGATAACTTACTTAACCTCCACTGTGCCTCAGTTTCCTTGTCTGTGAAATAAGGAAAATATTGTACTTAACTCACAGAGTTGAAGGAATCAAGAGAGTTGACATATATAAAGCATTTGGACCAGACCTGGCACATAATCAGCACTATTTAAGCATTGCTTATTATTGCCATTTCAGGCACCCCCCCTTACCCTTGGGCCCCAGCTAGATCAATGTTTTCTGTTGCTCTAGCACACCCTGCTCTTTCTGACTCTGAGTCCTCAGGTGGGCTCTTTCCTTTGCTCAAAGGACTCTTGCCTGTATGTTTCTTGCCTACTAACTTTCCTCTGGCCTCTGCTCAAATGTTATTTCCTCAAAGAAGTCTTTCCTGATCACTCGATCAGGAGCAGCCTCCCTGCTATAAGCTCCAAACTTTCATTGTTTCCCCTTATGACCATCATCATGATTTATTTACAGTGATCATTTGTTTAGGGTCCTCCCTGACAGTTCATGAGCTCTGAGAAGGAAGAGGTCATGTCTTCCAGGTCCCCTGCTGGACCTCAGCACAGTGTCTAGCACACTACAGGAATACCATAAATATTCATCAAATGAATGAGTGAATGAATAAGGAACAAAACACATGAAAGGCTTTTATAAAGTTGTGAAACTCTATACAAATATTGTAAAACCCTATACAAATACCCTAACACACTAATGACGGTGTGACAAAATGTGCTGATTACTATATAATCTAATGTTTAACTAGTAGGAATTTGTATTATAAGAAGGAAACTCTCTTCTCTACAATGGCTATAAAATATATTGGTTCAAATTGATCTTGGAACATGTGTCTTTAAGTCAAATGGAAATTATGCAAAAGAACCAGAAAATATTATTGTGTGCAGTCAGAGAATCACAGACAGATAATGACTTATTAAGACACCCCCCCCCACACACACACACCTTCTTCCCCAGGAAATAGGCCTCAGATGAAAGAAACTATTGAAACTATTCACAGAGAACATGTTTATGGCCTTAATTCATAGCAGGATTAAATACTTTCGGGAGTTGGCAAAACCAACAGTGCTAATCTGACAAATTCATTACCCTGAGTGACCCAAGTCATCAGGAAAACTATATTCTATTGTCAATGAACACTCAATCAAATACCAGGAAAATCATATTACCATCCTAATTCAAAATAGACCCTATAAAATAATTCTCCTGGGAATGTCTTCAAGGACCAATGCTTCCTCTCCATTGGATAAAGGAATCCCTCAAGCTCCTTCCACTTTACCAACTGTCAGATTCCAACCGTTCCTCTCCTGTGTAATGAGCCTTAGAACATTTCCCAGATGCCCACATTTGACCTCCAGGAGAAACTATGCGGTAACTGCCTAACCCCGATTGGGGGAAAAAGCATGAGGGACTGCATTTGGGCCCCGGGGAGATAGAGAACTGGGGAGGTTTCACAGAGGGAGAGCTAGCTGGATGACCCCCAGGCCCTAGGCTCTGGCGGGCTCTAGATGGTTGGAGGTTTGGCGTGCACCTGCCTAGAGCATGGGGCAACTTCTCCCAGCGCCGGTAAGCGGCGCTTTAGCGCAGCCTGTCAGCGGCCGCCAAGCCCCGGACTACACGTCCCAGAGGGCCCTGCTCCCCGCGCTGTCGCAATTTGAACTAGGCAGGTCCTGCCTAGGAAGAGAAGCCATAGTCGGCTAGCGCTGCTGGGGCATTCTGCCTGCGCTGCCGCTGCGCCCGCCGAGATGGTTGGGCTCCTGCTCCTGCTCCTCCTTCTCCCCTTCCTTCTGTACGTGGCTGCGCCCCAAATCAGGTCTGTGCAAATGTATTGCCTTGTCTTGCGAAGTCTTTCCGGGGGCACGTGGGTCCTCACTGTAGCGCTTTCTTTGGGAGACTCCCCTGGGGGGCTTCAAGATGGCCGAGGCCCAGAGTTCGGTAGGTTGGAGGCGAGGTCCAGCTGTCCTGGATGCGGGAAGGGCGCTGCACTCCGGGGTCCCCTGCTTCTCCTACCCTCCTTTCGCCTAAGAACTCCGAGTCTGGCTCCAGGGAACCCCGAGGGCAAGGCTCCTTCAAACACTTGTGTTTACAGCTTTGCAGGTTTCAGACCCTAGAATAGGGAGGGTGTGGCCCCGAACACTCTTTCCCCCTTAAATCCCGTGGCTTGAACCAGCCTTTGAAGCACAAAGGAGTGAGTCCACATTTTGCTCTCTAAAACTGATGGGAATCGAGACATCTTTAGCACCATTGCTTGCTCTCTTGTTGCTGTTCTCTCTTTCTCTGTTGTAAAGGAGAGAAGCAAAAAGGAACAGTGTTTGCTTGTGAGCCCTGTCCTGCCTTCGGAGCTGGAGCTTGGGGGATCTGAGTTATGCGCTGGGGGGCGGGGAGGGGGATGGCAGGGAGAATGAGAGGTGGTGTCTTGACAGGTGACACATCAGCCTAGGTGGCTAGCTGAGTGCCCCAGAGAATCAGCAGTGGACTGCACAACGGGCAGCCTGCTGATTGGCTCTGAGTAAGTCACCAGTAGTGACGGTGGACCAATGAAGAGAGACAGTCCTTTCATAGGGGCTAACTTGAAGCTGGGCCAAATCACACTGTCAGTTCTTGCAACAGTCTTTCTTCCTTTTTCCCTCCCTTCCTCCCTATTGCCCCTCTTCCAATTGTATTTTTTCTCCCCTCTGAACACTCAGTGCTCTCACCTGTAGGCACACATGGGTGCTCACACTGAAATGAAAACATAGATTTTTCTTTTCATTATGGGATCCTCTTATCCACATGGAATCTCATTGAAAAGTTGAACCTGAACTGAAAATAATGCTCATGCTTCAGTGAGATCTCTCTGAGAATGATTATACTCCTAGGGCTGTATCCCCAATTTAGCAAGGTCATGGTAAAACGGCCAGAGTTGGACTTTTGTAGTTGATTGTCTCTTTCCTGCTGGGAAAGGAGAGGAAAGAGCTAAGTACAGGTCCTGATGTCTCTGGCATAAAGGTTCTTGCTAACATTGCAGAAAGGAATTTCAGGATGCACACACAACTGAGCGACGGTGGCACGTTTATTGAGTGAAAGTGGACAGGCATAGGAAAGGCTTGTGCAGAAGTGAAAGTATGCTCTCAAGAAAGGGAGCGATGGACTCGAACCCAGGGGATTGCTGTTTTTATGTGTTGAAGTCAAAGAAGGCTGAGCAGTCAGTGTTCATTCTGTTCTTACTCATATATAACCGGGGAAAGGTCGCTTTGTACCAGGCAATGCTGGGAAATTAATGGCTCGTAATCTTCTCCTCAGGTCTGTTTGTTCAGGGCTGTTTCTTCGAGTCAGTTTACTAAACTTTTCCATTTCCTCCCCTCTTGCTCATACTTGACTACTTACTCTAATATTCTTCCCTCAGGAAACCTGTGCCCTTGAAATCTTACAAGGGGGTGTGGGTGGAGGTCTCGTTTTCTGTGACTACTTAAAGCTAGTAGGGGCATCATCCCCACATATGGGCCCAGGAGTTCTTGCTCTCTGTCAAGGGAGCTCAGGGGAAAATGGAGTACCATAGGGCAACATTTACATGGAAACTGATCCCTGCCATCCATGGCGTCCTAGTTCTCTGCCAGGACATAGACTCCAAGTGATATTGGGGATTTGAGATTGGAAGAAGGCTCCCACCAAGTCTAAAGAAGAGAAAGAAGAGCAGTTAAACACAGGTTGATATTGTTGGAGGTTGAGAATAGATTGCACTAAATCATATAAAGGCGTGGCAGTAAATCCAAACCTGGACATCCAAATCCTGCAAATCCCTGCCATGCCCCAAAATGCCCTAAATTCCTTCTTTGTCTGTGGTGGTCCTGTGTGCAAGGTGGCTTCTTTGCATTGGACCAACAGCCTCCACTGGCCTGGACTCAAAAATGTGGCCTAGATAGCTTCTCTCTGCTGTGAAACGTGGGCCTTGCTCTGTCAAGGCTGGCCCTGGCTGCCCGGGCTAATAGTTCCATTGAGGGTCAGTGAGAGGAAGAGCAGTCAACCCTACCGGGTACCTGCTGGGCTGGCTTGCACGTAAAGCCTCTGCATAAGCCTGAGCCTCAGTCCAAATTCCAGTTCTTTCCTCTCTCTCACAGTAGTGGGGTAGGACAGCCACTAGATCTCTCTAAGTCAGATCAAAGAATATGATCAGGTTTTGGAACTCTTCAGTAAATTTATCAGGGTCCTCCGAGAACTTACCTAAACATTCCTTGCATTGTTTTAAATCTGATATTGAAAAAGGGATTTGGACTTGAGTAGTTCCCAGAGGCCAGTGTGCAGAGGGCAAAGGAGATCTGCAGAGGGCAAAGGAGATCTGTTCCTGAAGGCTTATCTGGCAATGTTGGGTATATGGGCTGGTGATCTGGGGAAAACATCAGGGAAGGAGTCTCCAAGTTAGGTTTAGGGGTTACTGGAGGTGGCTGGGTCTTCGAGTCTGAAACTGGGGTTGGGGGAAGGTGAGCATGGCCCACCTGGTCAGCATTTCTCAAAACAGGAACTGCATTCATCAGGGTCCTCTCTGAGCACCATAAAGGCTTGCATGTATGGAACTTCTATCCACTTGCTTTCCTGTCTACTAAAAAAGATCTAATTGAAGGATTATATTAAAGTTTAAACTGCCATTTACTGGCCAGACCTGCCCATCACCTAGCTTATATTGGGGCCAGGCAGTATTATACAGAAACAGAAGTTTCTTCTTTCTACTGTCTAATTTGGAAAAGTTCCAATTCCAGAAAATATAGCTGAAGGAAGAGTCTTTGGTGGTGGAGAGAGTATTACCCATTTTTTCTTGGTTCCCTAGACAAAACCTGGAAGCACACAGGGGCCTCTGACCCCGTAGGTTCACAAGGGCTTCTAACCCCTGTGAAGTAGAAGCCTTCCAAGGCTCATCAAGCAAAAAGAGAAGGGTGCAGGCGTCCCCGACCTCTTCCTGCCTGTCCTGCTGAGTCCGTGCATCCCAAACTTTACTGCGTGCTGGAGAGGAGGACTCCTCTGCCTAGTGGTTGTGGCCCCAGGGGAGGTTTCCATCCCTGCCCCAGCATCCTCAAACCCCAGGGGTTGGGGTGAGAAGTTGTCCAGGGAATTTTATTCTCAAGGACCTCTAACCTCCACGAAGTAGAGAGATATAGGCCATGTCCAATTATCAGCGGTCCTGCGCTGGGATGTATGGTTCTAAAGCTGGCGTCTCTCAGGTTTCAAGACCTCTGGAGATCCCACCCTTGTCTCTCCTGGATCTGATGAAGCACTTTCAGCCCTGACACAGTGGTTAAAGGGGGTGGAGCTTTTTGTGCCTGAACGGCTTTTCTCCCGCTTTCCATGTAAAATTTGATTGAATAGAGTTTTGCCTCCAAATGCTTAATTCGCGTGGGGAGTGTAGTTCGCCTGGGCACTTCCAAACAGCTTCACAGTCCAAGCCCCCTTCCCCCTACATTGCCCTGTCTCTGCCGGTAATTCCTCCTGCCGGTAATTCCTCCACGGAAAGGGACAACAAACACAGCAATATCAGAAAGACCTCTGAAAGAGCAAGCCTGCTTTGCAAAGTGGCAGAATAAATCGCAAACATCTTTTCCCCACAATAGCAAAGAAGTACTCTGAAATAAGAATGGAATCTAGCAGTAGAGACTAAGCATGGGGTAGCCACAGAGAATGAATCATGGGCTCCTGGCAGGGAGGGGAAGTCAGCTCCCTAGGCTGGTGTCACCCAGCGTCTGGCAACCGCTTAGATCTACATGGCCTGAGGAGTGACCCTCTGCCACCCTGCTTTGGGAGAGCCACAGTCAGCCTGATGGAGCGGGGTTGTGTTCTAGTGACTCACTGAAAAGCCTGCAGAAGCAAAAGAAGAAAAATCCTCCGATCCGCTGTCAAGGGTGAAGACAGCCATACTCACCACGGGTCACTCAGGGATGGAATAATCTCCAGGCTGGCTCACCACGAAGATGTCACCAGTGTAAATGTTCTTGCTAATGTCACAGAAAGGAATTTCAGGATGTGTCTACAACGGAGCGGTAGTGGCAAGTTTATTGAGTGAAAGCAGACAGACTTAGGAAAGGCTTGTGAAGAAGTGAAAGTACGCTCTTAAGACAAGGAGTCGGCAGGCTTGAAAGGAGCAACTGCCCTGAACCCTGAGAGGTTGCTTTTTATTTTTCTTTTGTTGAGACAGTATCTAGCTCTGTCACCTGGGTTAGAGTGCAGTAGGGCTATCATAGCTCACTGCTACTTCAAACTGCCGGGCTCTGACGATCTTCCTGTCTCAGCCTCCCAAGTAGCTGAAACTACAGGTGTGTGCCACCATGCTGGCTAATTTTCCTATTTTTTGTAGACATGGGGGTCTCACTCTTGTTCAGGCTGGTCTTGAACTCCTGCACTCAAGTGATCCTCCTGCCTCGGCCTCCCAAAGTGTTAGGATTACAGGCATGAGCCACCGTGCCCGGCCATGGTTGCTGTTTTTATTTGTTGAAATCAGAGAAGGCTGGGCGCGTTCTGTTCTTACTTATATATAATAGGGGAAAGGTCACTTGTACCTGTGCAGTGCTAGGAAATTAATGGTTCTTTTCTTCTCATCAGGTTGGTTTGTTCAAGGGCTGTTTGAGCCAGTTCACTAACTGTTCCCTCCTCCCTTGCTCATACCTAACTGACTACCAACTTTAACACTGTTGAGTTGTCACTCTTGCAACTAAAGGGGAAGGGACGTCGAAAACAGTTGGGAGGCTTATTCTCTGGGGAGGGAGGTATGGTTGGTGGGCACCATGAGTTAGTTTGCCTCCTTGTAGATCTGTTTGTGTGAAGCAGGTAACTTCAGTGGCTAGGAGCATGTACCTTGCAATTCCAAGTTCAGTGAAAAAGGCTGAAATGCTCTTTTAAAATGTATCTCCTGCTCAACAGATTGTTTTAACCAGAGTCACAAGATCTTAGAGAAGAGAAAAGAACAATCTAAGAACTGGTAATACTGTTTGTGCATGCATTCATTTGGAAAGGCAGTATAGGCTGGTGCTTTGAACAAGGACTATAATTAGACAAAGCAGGACTTGTATCTCAGCTTCCCTTTGTACATACACTTACTTACATCTTTTCTTTGTCTTAAGTGTGTGTGAGTAAGTGTGGGTTTTTTCCCCCTGTTTTGTCCCAAATTCATAAGCTTTCATAATTTTAACTTTTTGTATTGGATTAGCCATTTCTCAAGGCCATAAAATGTCAGTTGTGGGCAGATTGACATACAGAGATCAGTTCTTTCTTCTTCTGGGCTGAGTCTTGTGATTTCTTAAGTCAAAAGTGGCTTAGAGCTCAAACCAAAGCCAGGTGCCTGGCTAAGCAAATATTCATCCAATTTCTTGTACTCCAGGGAGCAGCTCTAAGCTTTGCCCTTGTAATACAATAATTTTTTTTTTTTTGAGACAGTCTTGCCCTGTCACCCAGGCTGGAGTGCAGTGGCCTCATCATAGCTCACTGCAACCTCAAACTCCTGGGCCCAAGTGATCCTCCTGCCTCAGCCTCTTGTGTAGCTGAGACTATAGGAGTGCACTACCATGCCTGGCTACCAATCACTTTTTTCTTTGAGCAACAACAGAACACTTTTGTGTTTGTCCCTCCAACTTCCCTTAAATCTGAAAAGGACAACAGAGGAAGGAATGAAAGCAAACTTCAGCCTTGGGATCTGAAGACACAGGGAGTTGCAGAAACCCCAGGCTGAGACAGGAGAATGAAGAATTGATGAGCTTTTCTCTGACTGCAGGAAAATGCTGTCCAGCGGGATTTGTACATCAACTGTCCAGCTTCCTGGGAAGGTGGCTCTGGTCACTGGAGCTAACACTGGCATTGGGAAGGAGACAGCCAAAGAGCTGGCTCAAAGAGGCAAGTTTACCTGTTTTTAATTCCTTCCTGCTACTGCTGTTTTACCCCTCACAGTGGTGATCATTCTCATCTTTTCTTCCCAGTCTTGGAATTCAAGAACACCCAAGTATTCCATTGATCTGCTGGTCTGAACCTACTACTGTGCTCTACATGTAATGGGCACTTAAGTATTAGTGATTTTTCTTACTCTTTTTGCTACTCAGATAGATACTTCTGTTGTAAAAATTCCTGTTTTTTAAGAAATGTTGAAAATAACATTCAGGCCGGGCGCGGTGGCTCACACCTATAATCCTAGTACTCTGGGAGGACGAGGTGGGCAGATTGCTCGAGGTCAGGAGTTCGAAACCAGCCTGAGCAAGATCATCTCTATTATAAATAGAAAGAAATTAATTGGCCAACTAATATATAGAGAAAAAATTAGCCGGGCATGGTGGCATGTGCCTGTAGTCCCAGCTACTCAGGAGGCTGAGGCAGGAGGATTGCTTGAGCCCAGGAGTTTGAGGTTGCTGTGAGCTAGGCTGACGCCATGGCACTCACTCTAGCCTGGGCAACAAAGCGAGACTCTGTCTCAAAAAAAAAAAAAAAAGAAAATAACATTCAACATCAGTATTAGGTCTGTAATGCCCACTCAGAAACAGAGCCAACAGTTTATTTCTAATTGGTTGACAGGAGCCCGTGTATATTTAGCTTGCCGGGATGTGCAAAAGGGGGAATTGGTGGCCAGAGAGATCCAGACTGTGACCGGGAATGAGCAGGTGTTGGTGCGGAAACTGGACCTGTCTGATACTAAATCTATTCGAGCCTTTGCCGAGGGCTTCTTAACAGGTAAGTGTAGAACCAAAGAGAATGTTGTGAGTCTTGTGATCAACATCGCAGAACTTAGCTGAAAGGAAGAAGATCCCTCTCCCTGTAATACATAGAAATGGTAGATAAAATATAGCGAAAAACTTTCGGCATGCAGCTGAAATCATTATGATCACTGGGACATGATTTATGTCAAAGGGACATCCTCAAGAAGCAGAAACAAAAAGGGAATTCAGGAAATCATAGCAGTGAGTAAAAGTTGAAGGCACAAATCTCATGAAGTATCAGAACTCAATATGGGCTTTTCAGGATCTGGGGTCTAAACACCCATACAGGGATAGGAGACAAGGCCTCAGGTCCTTGAGAGCTGGAGCTGTATCTGAGGCTTTACATAAGGCTGAGATTCACAAAGGGCTGTCAGCCAAAATTAAGGCTGTTGAGGCAGAAATAATTTGATAAAGGTTTACTGAAAGCCCAATTTGAGGATCGACCTGAGAAGACACACCAGCAAAGTTGGGCATGTTCTAAAGTCCGTAAGAAGTTAGAAAGCTTTTATAAGAAAGTGTAGGATGGCCGGGTGTGGTGGCTCACGCCTGTAATCCTAGCACTCTGGGAGGCTGAGGCGGGTGGATTGCTGGAGGTCAGGAGTTCGAAACCAGCCTGAGCAAGAGCGAGACCCTGTCTCTACTATAAATAGAAAGAAATTAATTAACCAACTAATATATATAGAAAAAATTAGCCAGGCATGGTGGCGCATGCCTGTAGTCCCAGCTACTCGGGAGGCTGAGGCAATAGGATCGCTTGAGCCCAGGAGCTTGAGGTTGCTGTGAGCTAGGCTGATGCCACAGCACTCACTCTAGCCTGGGCAACAAAGCAAGACTCTGTCTCGGGGAGAAAAAAGGAAAAAAGAAAGTGTAGGAGAAGGGACGGAACATATCGTAGTGGTTTTTTTTTTTTTTGAGACAGAGTCTAACTTTGTTGCCTAGGCCAGGAGTGAGTACCGTGGCATCAGCCTAGCTCACAGCAACCTCAAGCTCCTGGGCTCAAGCAATCCTCTGCCTCAGCTCCCAAGTAGCTGGACTACGGCATGCACCACCATGCTCGGCTATTTTTTTTCTATATATTTTAGTTGGCCAATTAATTTCTTTCTATTTTTAATAGAGACAGGGTCTCGCTCTTGCTCAGGCTGGTTTTGAACTCCTGACCTTGAGCAATCCACCCGCCTCAGCCTCCCTGAGTGCTAGGATTACAGGTGTGAGCCACCTCACCTGGCCCGGAGTGGTCATTTTTTATTGGCGCTTACTACAGAGATGACAGTTGATGGCTACAGATGACAACATACAGGCCAAAATGTTTTACCCTCCAGACAATCATGATTGTCATGTAAAACGTTTTACAAACCACAGGAGGAAATGAACCATGAGAGAGAGTTGGATGATGTAACAAAGAAGTGAAACCAATATTTCTTTGAGGACCTGAATTCCAGTGCCAGGGGTGCATATAGAACATCCTTTTCCCTTTGCTTTGGAATCTTTCCATTCAGCTTGGGAAGTCTTTCTATTGGGGAGGTAGATGGAATACTTCCCAAAAGCAGTAAGTAGCTCCTGAACTAGAAAGATTGGAAAGGTCATTTGGTAGTACAAAATGGAATTTTGCTCTGTAGTAAAAGTATATAGGATTCAACTAAAGTCTAACCATGAAAAACAATAACAAAATAAGTGTGAAGGGAAAATGGAGGAAAGATTGAAGTCCTGCATTCTCATTTTCAAGGCCTGGGTGTGAGGCAGATTTCTAAGATGTAACAGCTGTGGCTGGCTACTTCCACACTCCTCCTTGTCTTCCCTACAGAGGAAAAGCACCTCCACATTTTGATCAACAATGCAGGAGTGATGATGTGTCCCTATTCTAAGACAGCAGATGGTTTTGAAATGCACATTGGAGTCAACCACTTGGGTAAGAAATGTGGCCCTATCACAAAGCCAGAGGGGACCAAAATTCTCCTTGGAAACTTAGGGATCAGATTGAGCCTCCTTTGTGGTATGTTTGGACATCAGGGCCATAAAAGACCAGGTGTGAATAATAAATAGTTTGATCCTACCTGAAAGCCCTGGCAGGGGCTATGTTGCCTTCTTAGTAGTGATCCTTGTGGACAGCATCAGGTAGAGACCACCTACTCTTAAAGAGTGCTTTTAACCAGCCGGGCGCGGTAGCTCCCGCCTGTAATCCTAGCACTCTGGGAGGCTGAGGCGGGCAGATTGCTCGAGCTCAGGAGTTCAAAACCAGCCTGAGCAAGAGCGAGACCCCATCTCTATTATAATTAGAAAGAAATTAATTGGCCAACTAATATATATATACAAAAAAAATTAGCCGGGCATGGTGGCGCATGCCTGTAGTCCCAGCTACTCGGGAGGCTGAGGCAGGAGGATTGCTTGAGCCCAGGAGTTTGAGGTTGCTGTGAGCTAGGCTGACGCCACGGCATTCACTCTAGTCTGGGCAACAAAGAGAGACTCTGTCTCAAAAAAAAAAAAAAAAAAAAAGAATGTTTTAACCAAAGTTGGAATGAGTTGAGACTTTATATTTATATTCACATAGTCCAGACCTACCTTGTGTCTCATGTCTTTGGCTGTTCCTATTTCTCTAACCCCTCATTGAACTTATTCTCTAGTTGATAAGAAAAAGTTGAGGCAAAAGACCTTATTCCTGAATTCTCTGTCTCCCATAGCTGAGCCATGCTCACTACTCCTCTTACCCCAACATTGGTCCGGAACTCTGTTAATTCTAGTTTTTTTCAATAGGTCACTTCCTCCTGACCCATCTGCTGCTGGAGAAACTAAAGGAATCAGCCCCATCAAGAATAGTAAATGTGTCTTCCTTAGCACATCACCTTGGAAGGATCCACTTTCATAACCTGCAGGGTGAGAAATTCTACAATGCAAGTCTGGCCTACTGTCACAGCAAGCTAGCCAACATTCTCTTCACCAAGGAACTGGCCCGGAGGCTAAAAGGTAGGCTTGGAAGACATGAGCATGGGAAACACAAGTCAGTGGGAGGTAGCTAAAAGCCACAGGCGTGGAAACTGTTTTCCAGAAGGCACCTGGACAGTACCTGCTTCCATGACTGTAACTGGGTATAGTTTCAGTAAGCAGCCTGCAACTGAATATTGGAGGTGGCTAGCTGGGGACAGGGAGATTCTGACTTTGAGTCCAAAGGATTGGCTTTACACTAGCTTTGTGACCTGCAGTAAGTTACTTAACCTTTTAAGACTGACTTCATATGTAAGATGGGACTACTTCACAGGTTATTGTCATAGTTTAATTCAGGCCTCATGAGCAAGTCAAGATTTTTTACTCATAGTAAGACTGAGTAGGAGGGAGGGACCTGAACTGACGCTAGATATAGCCATTAGAATAAAAGAGGTACTAGGAATATGGTAACAGCAAAGGGTCAGAGAAGAGGAAAATGTGTGCCTGAGAAGGTGTATCTCCAGTCACAGACAGAGGTCCTCAGCATTCTCTACTCGGCATTTCCAATAAAGAAAAGGGAAATCTAGGGTAAGCAATGCTTAGGAATTAAGACAGGCAGAATTCAGGCCCAAGGGATTAGGCACAGGGACCCCGTAGATAGAATAGGATGATTATACCACATGGGCAGCTGTGAGATGGGTGGTCAGCTCAGTGCATCTGCCCAGTGTGTGCCCAGGGTATGATGTGTTTTATCAGCTGGGGATAGATAAGAGTAAGTGGATGATTAAAACTATCCAAGGAGTTGGTCAGGGAGCTAGGGTGACCTGTGGGTAGAAAGATGGGTCCAGTGGTGAGAACTGGATAAAAGGAGAGTACACATGAGTGAGGTTACCCTGGTAGTTGTGAGGATTGGGTGGAAAGTAGCCATGGTGCAAGAACTCTGGAGTGACAGAAGATTCATCCATTGAGCCATTTGGCAGCCATGGATTCAGTGCCTGTGCTCTTCCATGCACTGCGTTAGGGGATTGGGGATGGTGCTGACCAAGACAGGCACTGTTTCTTCCCTAATTTGGTTTACATCTAGTGGGGGAGACATTGACACCAGCGGCTTCATGGAAAAAAGGAAAAAAAATAAAATAATGGGGGAGACAGTCAATTAGCAAGTGTTTATTCAGACTGTCACATGTAAAATCAGTCTAGTAATACATGAATAATTCTCATTGCAAAAAGTTCCAATAATATGGAAGTATATAGAATTAAAGGTGAAAACCCTTCTTTATTTATTCCCCTTCCCCAACCCTACTTTTCTTCCTTCAAGTGACCACTGTCAACAGTTCATTGTGCCCTTTTCCAGTAATTTTCCTATGTATTTACATATATATGTGTGTATATAGGTATATTTGTATATATATATCTCATACACAAGGAACTGAAATTCTAACACAGTATCTTGGAGATCTTTCCATGTAGTACATATAGACCTATCCCATTCATTTTGCTGGCTGCATTGTATTTCGTAGTATAGATGTGCCTTAGTTTATCCATTTCCTTAACATCTAGATTGTTTCCTTTTTGTTGTTACTATTTAGTTATAATTGTAATAACTGTTATTATATAAAGGAGAAGTACAAGGACGTATAATGGCTTTTGGAGGGTATTGGTGGGCAGACCTTATTCACACCAAAGGTTCAGGAAAGACTTCTCTGAGGAGGAGAGTTGCAAGCTCAGCCCTGAAGGATGATTAGAAATTAAATGGGCCTTACACAGACCCATTCAGTAAAAATTAAAAAAAAAAGAAAACAGAAATCAAACGAGCCAGGCTCAGTGGCTCATGCCTGTAATCCTAGCATTTGGGGAGGCTGAAGCGGGAGGATTGCTTGAGGCCAGCCTGAGCAAGAGCAAGACCCTGTCTCTACAAAAAATAGAAAAATTAGCTGGGTGTGGTGGCATGCACCTATAGTCCCAGCTACTCAGGAGGCTGAGGCAGGAGGATCACTTGACCCTAAGAGTTTTTGGTTGCTGTGAGCTATGATGATGCCACTACACTCTAGCCTGGGCGACAGAACAAGACCCTGTCTCAAAAAAAAAAAAAAAAAGAAAAATTAAATGGATTACAGGTGTGAGGAGGCTGAGGAACATTCTGGGTAGAAGGGAAAGAATGTATGAAGGTCTGGGCTCGGTTTCAGAAACAAGGCTACCACAGTTAGAGTGTAGAAAGCAGGAGGAATAGAGATCTGAGCTGAGACTGGTGGAGTAGGTAGAGACCAAATTCTTAGAGGCCACTGTAAGGGTTTTAGTGTTTAGGAGCAATGGGAACCTTTAAAATTAAAGCCTTTTAAAAATGGGGGCAGGGGTAGATGCAGCAGTTGATTTCAGAAGTCGAGGCAAGAAGTCAGGGTAGCTTGGACTAGGCTGGTGGAGATGGATGGTAGCAGACAAGCACACCTGAGAGATATTTAGGATATGAAAACCACAATGCTTGTATTGACTGAATGTACATGGTGAGATGGGGAATTGTCAAGAACTGCTCCCATGTGCCTGATGGGCACGTAGGGAACACTGCAAGAACCAGGGTTGGTCTTAAAACTAGAAGTCAGTTTTGGACATCTGAGTTTTCATTACCATGGACCATCCAGGGTAGATGTCAGGTAGGCAATGGGTAGCCCACAGTCCTTTCTCTACAGTTGTAACATCCACAAAAGCCTGAAAATACTGATTTTTTTGCAAGCTTATCAAAACTCATTTGACAGCAAAACTTCACCTATATTGGTGGGATTAGATAGTAGACAGTATATGTGTATATTCATATTACCTTTCTAAAATCAGAAAAAAAATTGATACATATCTGGCCCCAACGTTTTCAGTAAAGATTGGGGACCTCAGGCTGAGCACAGTGGCTAACACCTGTAATCCTAGCACTTCTAAGAGGCCAAGGTAAGAGGATCACTTATTGTCAGGAGTTTGAGACCAGTCTGAGCAACATAGCAAGACCCCGTCTGTAAAAAAAAAATAGAAAAATTAGCTGGGTGTGATGGTGTGCACCTGTAGTCCCAGTTACTCAGGAGGCTGAGGCAGGAGGATCATTTGAGCCCAGGAGTTTGAGGTTTCAGTGACCTATGATCATACCACCGTCCTCATGCCTGGGCAACAAAGTGAGACCCTGTCTCTTTTAAAAAATAAAAGATTGGGAACTTGAAGTAGCAAGCACAAAAGTGTCATTGAGTAATTACTAGGCACTGTTCTAAGCTCTTTAATTTATATGAACTCATTTAATCCTCAGAACAACCCTGTGAGGTATAGATACTATGATTATCCCTGAGTTGTTTTTAATTTTTATTTTTTATAGAAAACTCCTGGGCATAAGGGATCCTTCTGCCTCAGCCTTGCGAGCAGCCGGGACCATAGGCATGAGCATTGGCGTGTGGTAGCCCTGTGATAGAGATGAGAAAATGAGTCACAAAAAAGGAGCTTGCCCAAGGTTACATGGCTAATGAGTGGAGCCGGGATTTGATCCTGGGCAGTCTGTCTGCAAAGTCCATGCCCTTAACCAGCCTCTGTGCTGGCTCTCACAGTCAGTCTAGAGGTCGGAGGAGCAGTTTGGGCTGTAGATAAAATGTGAACACCATAATATCATAGAGAGGGAGTTCAGTGAGCCATGAGAACTCCAACATTTAATGTTTGGGTAGAAGATTATGAACTGGCTCAGGAAACTGAGACAAGCAGCCAGGAAGATTAGGAAAACCAGAAGAGAAGTGGGGTCATGGAAGCCAATGAGAAAGAGGAATTCAAGAAGGGGGTGGTCAACAGTGTGAAGTGCTGCTGAGAGGTTGAGTCCTGGCTCTGCTGCTTCATAACAGTTAATAACTTCTCGGAGCCTTTACTTCTTAATCTGTGAAATGGAGGTATAAACTACTGTGCACAGTGCTTGTGATGTCACCAAGGGAAGGGAGTCCATGTGTGAAGGTCACGTGTTTATTTACATCTTTTGTCATTGGCTGTTCAAAATTAAGTCCTATCTTCCCCTCTCCACGGCATCCCTCCCACCAGGCTCTGGCGTTACGGCGTATTCTGTACACCCCGGCACGGTCCAGTCTGAATTGGTTCGGCACTCGTCTTTCATGAGATGTATGTGGTGGCTTTTCTCCTTCTGCATCAAGACTCCTCAGCAGGGAGCCCAGACCAGCCTGTACTGTGCCTTAACAGAAGGTCTTGAGATTCTAAATGGGAAACATTTCAGGTATGAATTTTCTGGTTTTAGAGATGATATTTTATTGCCCAAAGGAAATAATTTGGATTTGTCTGGTATACCATACCCTTTTTATTTTTTTATTTTTTGTTCTGTGTTTTTGAGACAAGGTCTCCATTTCCTAGGCTAGAATGCAGTGGCATCATAGCTCACAGCAACCTCAAACTCCTGCCTCGGCCTCCTGAATAGCTGGCACTGCAGGCCTATGGTAGAGAAGGGGTCTTGCTATGTTGCTAAGGCTGGTCTCTAACTAGTGGCCTCAAACAATCCTCTTGCCTTGGCCTCCTAAATTGCTAGGATCACAGACAGGAGCAACCATGCTTGACCCCTGTTATGTAGTCTTGATTCTTTTACTCACTGTGTTTCTAGCTCCTAGCACCGTTTTGGAACAAAGTATGTGTTAAATGAATGAAACTTTCCCTAACTTCTAGAGGAAGGGATCTCTCTATTTAGAAGCTGAGTTAGGTACTTATGATCTGTGTCATTCATGTTGCATGTTGTTGAGTTGCAAGAGTTCCTTATAGTCTAGGTACAAGTTCCTTATCAGATGTATGATTTGCAAATATTCTCCCATTCTTTGTGGGCTTTCTTTTCACTTTCTTAGTGGTGTCCTTTGAGGTACAGTTTTTAATTTTGATGAAAGTCCAATTTAGGGCCGGGCGTGGTGGCTCATGCCTGTAATCCTAGCACTCTAGGAGGCCAAGGCGGGCGGATTGCTCGAGGTCAGGAGTTCAAAACCAGCCTGAGCAAGAGCGAGAGCTAGAGCGAGACCCCATCTCTACTATAAATAGAAAGAAATTAATTGGCCAACTAATATATATAGAAAAACTTAGCCGGGCTTGGTGGTGCATGCCTGTAGTCCCAGCTTCTCGGGAGGCTGAGGCAGTAGGATCGCTTGAGCCCAGGAGTTTGAGGTTGCTGTGAACTAGGCTGACGCCAAGGCACTCACTCTAGCCTGGGCAACAAAGCAAGACTCTGTCTTAAAAAAAAAAAAAAGAAAGAAAGAAAAAGAAAGTCCAATTTATCTATTTTTTCTTTTGTCACTTATGCTTTTAGTGTCGTATCTAAGAAACCATTGCATTATCCAAAGTCACAAAGATTTATTACCATTACCAGAGCATGGCACTGGTATCTGGTTGGGGGTCTTCTTGGTGTGTGACAATCTGGCAGAGAGTGTCACATGGCGAGAGGGCAAGTGATAACAAACCCAATCCTGTGATAGTGAGAGTAATCTATTCATGAGTACAGAGGGATTAAGTTTCTAACACATGAACTTTTGAGGAACACATTCAAAATCATAACAACTACTATATTTTCTTTTAATAGTTTTATAATTTTAGCATTACATTTAGATCTATGATCCATTCTGAGCTAGTTTTTGTGTATGGTATGAGATAGGGGTCCACCTTTATTCTTTTGTGTGGGGATGTCCAGTCATCTCAGCACCATTTGTTGAAAAGACTATTTTTTCCCTATTGGATGGTCTTGGTAGCTGTATTAGTCTGCTTGGGCTGCCTAAACAGAATTCCACAGACTTGGTGGCTTAAACAACCTAAATTTATTTTCTCAAAGTTCTGGAGACTGGAAGTCCAAGGTCAAGGTGCTAGCTGATTTGGTTTCTGTCTTCCTGATTTGCAAATGGATATGTTCTCCCTGTGTCCTCACATGGCCTTTCCTCTGTGCACACACATTCCTGGTGTTTCTCCCTCTTCTTATAAGGACAGCAGTGCTATTGGATTAGGGCCTACTGTTATGACCTCATATGATGTCTCTACAAAAAATAGAAAACTTATCTGGGTGTGATGGTGCATCCCTGTAGTCCCAGCTATTTGGGAGGCTAAGGCAGGAGAATCTCTTGAGCCCTGGAGTTTGAGTTGCAGTGAGCTATGATGACACCATCGCCCTCTAGCTGGGGTGACAGAGTGAGACTATGTCTCAAAACAAAACAAACCTTCATTTAATACCTGCTGTGTAATAGAGGCAGAAAATATAAAAATGAGTAAGCGAATTGTCCTTGAGAAAATTTCTGGATGATGCAATTAGGACATCCCTTCTGCATTTAACAGAATTACGGTACTTGGAATTACAGCAATGAAGATAAGGTATATGATTTATGTGTATCCCCCAAAGTTCGTGTGTTAGAAACTTCAGCACTAATACAGCAGTCTTGAGAGATGGGACCTTTACAAGGTGATTCGATCATGAGGGCAGCCCTCATGAATGGATTAATGCCATTATCTTGGGACTGGGTTCATTACTGTGGGAGTGGGTTCCCCTTAAAAGGATGAGCTGGATCCAATTCCCTCTCTCTTGCCCATGTGATGCCTTCCACCATGTTATAATGCAGCAAGAAGGCCCTCCATCTTGGACTTCCCATCCTCCATGATCATGAGCCAATAAACTTCTCCAACTGCTGACCTCTAGTGATCCTCTTGCCTCAGCCTCCAGAGTTGCTGGGATTATAGGAGTGAGTCACCATACCCAGCTCAATTTCTGTTCATTATATTATAATTACCCAGTCTGGGATATTCTGTTAACAGCAGAACAAAATGGACTAAGACATACCTGGTAACTTGTCACAATTTTTTTTTTTTTTTTTTGCTATCACCTTGTTTTTGAAACTGTCTTTACTTGTCATATGAATTTACAAACAGTTATATCTGCAAGTAGTCCAGACATAAGCAGTATTTTCTTACTACTCTAAGCATCTATCTGTGACCAGTATAAATAGCAAGATGTCAGCTATATGACACTGTCCAAGGCCCTGTAGAGTGAACTTTCCAGACTTAATTGAAGAAGATGGATATACGTAGATGTCAGGCAGGCACTGATTTGAGAGTTACATTATATACATAGAAAGGGGAATATAAAGACCAGATGATATGCATTATAAATCAAACGAAGCATTCTGATCAGAGGTGATCTAGTGAGAAAAATCCAAATGGCATATACATTTTCTCTGGTGTAGAGATTGGAAAAAGAAGAGATAGGACAAACACTGGCCTTATGAAGCTCCTAGAGCACATGCAGTCCCTGGGTTGTTTTTCTATCATATCCCTTATGCCAGGCAGAGAAGTAGACTCTATTCTTAACACTATGCTTCAAACCTCTCTCTTTCCCTTCCAGTGACTGCCATGTGGCATGGGTCTCTGCCCAGGCTCGTAATGAGACAATAGCAAGGCGGCTGTGGGATGTCAGTTGTGACTTGCTGGGCCTCCCAATGGATTGACAGGCAGTGGCAGTTGGGCACAAAAGAAGACAGCAGCAGACTATACAGTACTTCCTGCCAAAATGATTGTCCTTCAAGGTGGCCAAAACCTTAACCACAAAGAAAACAAAAACTTCTAGTCTTGCCTGTGTGGTGTCCAGTTAAAACCCAGTTACACTGCCAGATTCGTCTAAATGCCTTTCATTTGTCCAGATTTACTACTAGAGATATATTATAGAATAAGAAGACCCTTATATGACCTGCACAGCTCATATTTTCCTTCTGAAACCTACTACTACCTAGGAGAATCTAGCTATGTCACGGTTTACTTATGGGAATTTGGGCTAGTTTCTACCCTGTTTGTTCACAATGTAGTTCTTCCCAACCAACCAATCTTCACTTCAAGAGGGCCACACTGTAACCTCAGCTAAACTCTGTAAGTCACAATGGCTTGGCTCAAGAGCAGCACTTGTTCCTCACCTCTTTAGCTGTCATACACCAACATCTGGATTCTTTCAGGAAATTCTTAATTGAATCTGTTACGGCATGACCTTAAGCCTAAGGCCACTGCTATTAAAGACACTTTCCCATGTCTACCAGAGAAGAGCTTCCTTTTCTAAGAAGTTGTGAGGCTTGTGGGAGGGCAGAAATGTGGGGAAATGCAGAAATAAAAATCAAGTTCAAACAGTCATTTTCCTGCTGTTTCTCAGACCAACAAGTGGGTAATATAGGGAACACTATGAGAAGGTGGGCCACTTGATTTCAGTTAATGACCCCAGACCCATAGAGGCCTTATTTTTTGTGCCTTAGTTTCTCTTAGAAGAACCAGAAGAGGAAAGGAATGGCTTTTGGGTCATTGTCATTGTGAATATCTTTGTGTGTCTTCTTTATGTTTATACAGTTGGGAGTAATTTTCACAAAATTCAAAACAGCCACAAAGAAACAGTGGCTGGTACCTAGTGCAGGTAAATAATCAGAGATGAAGCAAACCAGTGTCATCCAGTCTTTGATACAAGTGAGTACAGCTGCAAAGGGAAGCAGATTCTGTATATGTTGGTAACTACCCACCAAGAAGCATGTGGGTAGCAGGGAAGAAGTAAAAAAAAAAAAAAAAAAAAAGAATCCTGGGAGATAATGCATTTTCCCCTGAATATTCTTATACTTTTTAATATACATGGGTGGTTTAAGTATTGAGCTCCCAACCAAACATTTGAGAACAGGCTCCTTGAGCAAACCATGAAATCAGTGAAAATAGGAATTTATACCCATAGAGTGCTGGAAAGGACTTGGTAATTGTTAACACATTACACTTAGCGGCAGATGAGACCTGATGAAGCCTGGTCCACCTTCCATACTGTATTAGTCCCTTCCTGAAGGGAAAGGACTAGTTAAGGATTTAAAAAACAGCAAAAGACAGTAATATATAACTATAGAAGAATTGAGGGTAAGCATGCAAAACTTATGAGGCACTGTCTTAAACACCAATCAATGTGGCAGAAAAAAATTCAAAGCACAAAAGCAAAACAACCTTAGAATTATCTTAAGGACTGATATTGGTAATTAATTAGAGTCAATTTAATAATCTTACATTTCCTTACATTATCTTGGCAAGATTCAAATGTCTATTTGCCAACATTTATTTTATTTGGAGAACTTTTATCAAAAGTAATGCTGCCAAAGGAAGTCTGAGGAGTTGGTAATGTTGCCATGACTTGTTTGGAATATTTTAGTATAAGAGTTTGTGATTTCTTGGACTGACAATTATATTTTAACTTTGGTGGGGGAAAGAATTATAGGACCACAGTCTTTACTTCTCATATTTGTAAGTTACTAATCTTTTGTTGAACTTCTTTTGACCATTAAACTATAATATTTAGAAATGGTCATTTTATGTAAAATTTGGAAAATTTGATAATAGTGCAGTAGAATAAATGAATTAATTTTTTATTTAATTTATATTGAACTGTCAATGACAAATAAAAATTCTTTTTGATTATTTGTTTTTATTTACCAGAATAAAAACTAAGAATTAAAAGTTTAATTATAGTCAAAAGAAAAAAACACTTTTCATCATTACAGTTATGCAATTATCTCTCATTCTAAAGGGTAATTTGTTCCAGAGTCTAGCTACAGTACGATCTAAATTCACAAGCCATTAATTTAAGTTGTAATTTGATAATTCATTCACCCATATCCCACTTTTTTGACACTGTTCAAAGATCACTTTTTCCACATTTCTTGATCACCCCATGCTATGTGTTATCTCTCCTTTTTGTACCTGCCCTTTATTTCTGTACTGTGACAAGTCCCACAGCATTGTGTTGTGGGACTTAATCACAGTACACTGCCACTGACCTCAGACTTTGTCATCTCTCTATGCTCAGCGTGAATTAAGAGCTCAACAAAAGTGTGTTGAATCAATGGTCAGTTAACTCGATCTAATAAAAATGAGGGCCCTGAAGATATAATCACAAAGCATTTTCCCCTGAATATTCTCATATTTTTTAATATACATGGGTAGTTTAAGTATTGAGCTCCCAACCAAACATTTGAGAACGGGCTCCTTGAACAAACCATCAAATCAGTGAAAATAAGAATTTATACCCATGCAGTGCTGGAAAGGACTTGGTAATTGGTAACACATTACACTTAGCGGCAGATGAGACCTGATGAAGCCTGGTCCACCTTCCATACTGTATTATAAATTACCCAAGGGCAGAAAGTAAATCTGTTTCATTCACCAACATATGCCCAGATTCCTGCACAACGCCTACACTTAACAAACACCTGTTGTGAACAAACGCACCAGGCAGTCTAGCGCACTAGGCAGCCAGGCCGCTAGAGGAAGAGTGCTTATGCCGCCTGGGTTCCATTTCTGAAAGCGTGGGGAGCCACCTGACTTCCCCAGTAAAGGTGCTTTACCTCCGGGGGCAGGCGGGCCCCTGGCCCTGTTATCCTTCTAGGGCTGAAAGCTAACGTTTAGTCAGGACGCGAAATGAGGAAGTCAGGGTGGCAAAGCAAATTGCGATGATAGCGAAGACGACGTCTAGGCGCAAACAGGTGCTAAACCACCGCCCACCAGTGCGACCCCTGGCGGCAGCGGCGCTGGCTGAACCAGCCGCCCTGGAAAACGTGCGCTCCCCCGGCGAGTGGGCGCGTTCTCCGGACGAACTACATCCCCCGGCATGCAATACGATGCCCGCCCCTCTCCTGCCGGTGGAGCCGGGGAGGGAGGCGGCCAAGCTGCCCGCTTCGTGGGTCCCCTAGGGCCCTTTCGCTGTGCGCCTTTCTCAACCGCAGAAGGGATATTTCCAGGGTTCTGAAACTGCCGCTCGCCTCGGCACAGGACTCACCCCCAAGAGACGCCTGGGCAGCACAGCACGCGCGACTTTCTGTCAGGCTTTCGCGCCCGGCGCTCCCTCAGTGACAGGCTGGAGGGGGTGGGCGTTCCGACTCGGGAGGACCCCGCCGCGGCCCCGGAAGCGCCTCATCCTGGGCGGCGGTCGCCTGGCGGTCGCCGTGATGGCTACGGGGCTGGGCGGCTGACCGCCGGGCTAGGAGCGGGCCCAGCGCCCAGAATCTCGGCGGCCGCCGCTCGAGCGCCGCCTGCGCCATGGCCACCTCCGCCGCCTCCTCGGAGCATTTCGAGAAACTGCATGAGATCTTCCGCGGCATCCATGAAGACCTACAAGGGGTGCCCGGGCGGCTGCTTGGGACGGCAGGGACAGGTGAGGCTGGGGGTGGGCCAAGCCGTGGAGAACTCAGCCGCGGACCTTCCTCCCAGACCCGGGCCCCCTTCGCTCCTTATCCTCAAGACACGCCCCCGAGGGCTGGCTGGGTCCCGGTGCCCAGGACCTCCCTGAACTGGAGGCGTGTTCAGGAATGGACGGCGGGTGTCGTCTCCCTGGATGCCTCCTTGGCCAGTAAAATTTTCTCTTTTTCACTGTGACAAGAAGAGCATAGGGGTTCTTAAATCTGCGGTCCTGTAGTTCAGTAGAATGGGTTTCTTTTGTAGCTTTTTGTATTTTACTCATTCAAAAACGTTATTTTCATGGAAGGTCTATAGTTTTCACTATACTTAAAAAGGATCTGTAGCATAAAAATGGTTAAGAAACCAAAAAAAAAAAATCATAACTTATGGGTAATGGTAAATACTAGTAAATTCTACTTATGGGGTTAGTCTTTAAAACTAGAATTGTGGAGTTTAGATGTGGTCTTGTTTTGAAATTTTTTTTCTGTACCTTGCCTTCCTTTTTCTTTTTATTATTATTTTTTTTCTTTTTTTAATTTTAGAATATTACAGGGGTACCAATCTTTTGGTTACATGGATTGCTTCTGTACAGCTTGAGTCAAAGTTATAAATGTATCCATCATCCACATAGTGTACATTGTACACATTAGGTATAATTTTACCCATCTCCTCCTCCCACCTGTGTGATTTCCATTGAGCTTTACTTCCATCTATGCACAGGAGTGCTGATAAGTTAGTTCCAATTTAATGGTGAATGCATGCAGTATTTGTTTTTCCATTCTTGCAGTACTTCATTTAGGAGAATGGTCTCCAGTTCCATCCAGATTGTTGCAAAAGGTGAAAGCAAAAGATTCCTTGAACTCACATAGTTTCTGGGGCTCCAAAATCTGGGAGCATCTTAGCTGGGTGGTTCTGAATCAAGGTTGCAGGACAAAGTTGCAGCCAAGCTGTCATACGGGGCTGCAGTCATCTCAAAGCTCAACTGGAGCTGGAGAATCAACTTCTAAACTCATTCATGTGGTTGCTGGCAAGCTTCAGTTCCTCACTGGCTGTTAGCCATAGACTTCAGTTCCTCAACACGTGGGCCTTTCCCTAGGGCTGCTAACAACATGGCAGCAGGCTTCCCTATTTATTAAGTGGAAGTGGATCATCATAGAGGTCTTTATCCTCATTCTCTTCATGTTGAGTAGGCTGCTGCAGTAAAGTCATCTAGTATATATATCTACATTGAGACTTTGTTTTGAATTTTCTTACTACTTAGACTATTTACTGCTTCTTAATTTCAAGGTTCAAGTTGCTGCAAGCTCTGTCTGAAAGAGCTATACTTTTCTAGCCCTAAATCTGCTATAGTTCTTGACCTCTGGACAAATAGATTTTCATGGCAACGAGAAGACTTTGTTTTTACTTGAGTCAGAACTTGGACCAGGTGTGATGGCTCATGCCTGTAATTCTAGTACTCCAGAAGGCCAAGTTGAGCCTCCCAGATCGCTTGAGTTCAGGAGTTCAAGACCAGCCTGAGCAAGAGCGAGACCCCCATCTCTACAAAAAAAAAGAAAAATTAGCTAGGTGTGGTTGTGCAAGCCTTGTAGTCCCAGCTACTCGGGAGGCTGAGGCAGGAGGATCACTTGAGCCCAGTAGTATGAGATTGCTGTGAGCTATGATGAAGCCACTGCACTCTAGCCCCATTTACAGAATAAGACCCTTTCTCAAAAAAAAAAAAAAAAAGAGAGAGAGAGAACTTATCCAAGGTCATGTCAATTTAATGACTCTGGAGAGAATGAAATTCATGTGTGTGTAATTTATCTTTATTGAAAGGCTGCTGTGTTGTCAGGCACTGTCCTAGGTGCTGGTTAATATTGCAAAATACAGTTAAAAAAGACACACAAATCCCCATTCTAGTGGGTGGGTGATAATATGTAAATATTAAGAGAATGTTAAGAGCAATACAGAAAAATAAAGCAGGGTAAAGGAATAGGGGATGGCTGGTCCAATGGTAGTGGGTTTTCAGAACCTGTTAACTTAGTGTCACTAAAATTGGTATAAAATCCCACTGCTAAATTTGGCTTTAAAAAAAAAAGGAATAGGCGAGGTAGCTTCAATTTTAAATAGGGTGGCTGTGAAAGGCTTCTCTAAGGAGATGGCATTTGAGCAGAGACTTGAATAAAGTGAGGGAGTAAATCATGCAGAAATCTGAGAAGTGTCAAGAGGAGGGGATATCACTGCAAAGGCCCTTAAGCAGAAATGAGCCTGGTGTGTTCAAAGAAGAATGGGAAGGTCAGTGTGTTTGGAATGGAGTGAGCGAAGAAGAAAGGTAGGCAGGGGCAGATCAGGTGGGACCTCATAGTCCATTGGGGAAGGTTTGTGCCTTTTATGATGGTATGCAGTCAAAAGCTATTGAGCAGGAGTGTGATGAGATCTTATGTGGTTGAAGAGTAGACTATATTTTCAGTCTGCCCCTAAATTCATTTTTGCAACATCTTTCATTTCTGTAAGGCTAAATAATGTAAAAGAGCATTCCATTTTGAAAAATAGAAAGCTGAATTAGTTATTGCTATGGTTTGACTGTCCCCTCCAAAATTCACATTCAGTCCACAGCCATGCTACCCTGAATGCGCTGACCTCTTAACCTCAGAAGCTAGGCAGGGTCAGGCCTGGTTAGTACTTGAGTGGGAGACAACCTGGGAAGACTGGGTATTGTAGGCTTAAAAACATTGAAATTTAATTGCCATTGTGATGGTATTAAGAGATGGGATGTTAAGAGGTGATTAGGCCCTGAGTACTCTGCCCTCATAAATAAATGAATGCCAAGTAGGTTCATTATTGCCATGGTGGGTTACTATAAAAGTGAGTTTGCCCCTCTCTTGTTTACTTTCTCATCCTCTTGCCCTTCCACCTTCCTCCACTGGATAACCCATAGGAAGCAGGAAGAACCTCAAAAGATGTGGGCCGGCCAGGCACGGTGGCTCATGCCTGTAACCCTAGCACTCTGGGAGGCCAAGGCGGGTACATTGTTTGAGCTCGAGTTCGAGACTAACCTGAGCAAGAGTGAGACCCCGTCTCTAGTGAAAATAGAAAGAAATTAACTGGACAACTAAAAATATATAGAAAAAAATTAGCCAGGCATGGTGGTCCATCCCTGTAGTCCCAGCTACTTGGGAGGCTGAGGCAGAAGGATCACATGAACCCAGGAGTTTGAGGTTGCTGTGAGCTAGGTTGATGCCACAGCACTATAGCCCAGGCAACACAGTGAGACTCTGTCTCCAAAAAAAAAAAAAAAGATGTGGGCCCCTCAACCTTGGACTTCCTAGCCTTCAGAGAAATAACATTCTTTTCCTTATAAATTACCCAGTCTCAGGTATTCTGTTACAGCAAGACAAAACAGACTAAGAATTATATTCACCTGTTGTCTAACCTTCTCATTCCTGCCAAGAGGGCAATCAGAAAAGTGTGAATTTCTACTCAAGCACAAAATACCTCTGAGTTGCTGGTAATAGACTTAGTTGTTTAATGGATAGGTAAATAAAGTATACATATATTTCCACAGTTATGATAAGAATTCAACAGCTTTATCTCCTTATTCACTACCTCATTCATACTGTTCAATATTTGTTGAATATATTAAATTTAATTAAGAAACATACAGGGCCTTGTCTCTGAATCCACTTTTTCTACTTTGGAGACCACTTCATAAATTTTAATGCCCATCATGAATTAGTAGGCACTGCATAATGTACATAATACAGTCCTAGCATGTAGCTTATACTGGTGAATTTTGTTTTTCTCTTAAGTCTTCCTACCTAAGAACTTACTTTCAGAAACAATGGTGGTTCCTATTTATTGAACCCTTACTATGTTTGGCACTTGCTAAGTCCTTGTTATATGTACTATCTCTTTGAACCCTTTTAAACAACCCTATGAGGTCAGTAGTCTTACAGTCCCTATTTGCAGATAAGGAAACAGGTTGAGAGGGTTGCTTTTAACTTCTAAACTGTTGTCAGTTACAAATAGAAAATGTAGGTTGTAGAAATGCCACAGTGAGGTGCCAAAATCAAATTAATTGCATATTTTTGAGCTCTTGATTAAACTGCAGTTAGTTCCACAGCTCTGCTCTTAACGGGCCAAGATCAGTCATTCTTAGGCTGGTAATTCAGACCCAATAAAGAAGAGAGGCCACCCACCTTGGGTGAACATTAAGGTGGATTATCTTTAGCTCTGTTTTTCAGAACTGGCTGTTTCCATTTTATTTCATGTCCAGGGAATGGTGTCACCATCCCCCAGTTTACCAAAGGAAGCAGAGTCAGTCTCAGAGTGAGTCAGTCTCTCACATTTGACTGGTTTGGGAAGGCTTGTGGGGTGGGGGATAGTGAGTGGTGTTTGCAGTGGCTCATTCTTGTTTCTGGTGCCCATTCTACCCACGATGCAGTTCTGTTGGGTTTTTGTTTTTTTAAGAGACGGGGTCTCAGGTCAGGCTCAGTGGCTCACGCCTGTAATCCCAGCACTTTGGGAGGCTGAGGTGGGAGGGTCTTAAGGTCAGGAGTTTGAGACCAGCCTAAGCAAGATCAAGACTCCCATCTCTAAAATTAAAAAAAAAAAAAGAAACAGGATCTTGCCCTGTCACCAAGGCTGGAATGCAGTGGTATGATTATAGCTCACTGCAGCCTCAACTTCTCAAGTAGCTAGGAGTACAGGTGCACACCACCTTGCCTGGCTAATGTTTTTATTATTTGTAGAGAATGGGGTCTTGCTATGTTGCCCAGGCTGGTTTCTTTTTTGTTTTGTTTTGTTTTTGAGACACAGTCTCACTTTGTTGCCCAGGCTAGAGTGAGTGCCATGGTATCAGCCTAGCTCACAGCAACCTCAAACTCCTGGGCTCAAGCAATCCTTCTGCCTCAGCCTCCCGAGTAGCTGGGACTACAGGCATGTGCCACCATGCCTGGCTAATTTTTTCTATATATATTAGTTGGCCAATTAATTTCT